GAGTAATGAGTTCCCCTTTGATGTCACTTCCTGTTTCACTTTGGCTGAGCCAAATCCAAAAGAAAATATGCCAGTTATGAGACAAAATGGGTAAAATCATGTGTACAATGCCAGTTTTATTAAGTATAAAGATGTTTTCTTTGACTTTGTATTTGAAGGATAAGTACGTCACAGGACCTTTAATATTAAATAAAAATCACAAATTAAACATGAACTTTCTTTAAGGTTAAATTAGCAGCGAGGCGTTTGTGGGACGGCTYCAGGCCAGGATTCCTCAGTTCTCTTGGATCGTCCAATTCTTTTTTTTCTTTTCTTTTTTAACSGTTWGTTTGTGTTCAGTTGGACCTGCTGATGTTCAGCTTTAAAAGAACAGAAGCTTTTCAAACAGAATCTTCACATTAAATTCAGTTTAAAACTGAGGTCATTACTTGAAATACAAATCAACGTTTCAACTGTTTTTCTTTCATTTTGCCTTTTTTGTAAGAGTTCTGAAGTGAGCCGACGGTCAAAACAGTTCAGTCAGTAAAGAGGTTTTCATTAAGAGCCACAGTGAACTTTAACAACAGGACATAATGAATTAATGTTTACTTCCTGTTTGTCCTCTGCAAGTTACTGAATCATAAATCAGAGCCGTCTCACTCTGTCTCAGTCCGTCTCAGTTTGTCCTCCTGTTTGTTTATTTACGGTAAAGAGTTTGTTTCACATTTCGCTCCTGCCAGATCTCATTAACGGAATTAAAGCCAAGCGTTTCCTGTTTTCCTCTCCATGTCTGAACCAGTTTAATGTGATCACTGRGAGTCACTTTGTCCCTGTCCTCATCCATTCATCACATTACTGACTCCCTGTCCCCGTCCCTCACAACTGGTCTCACAGTTAATTCCTCCTCCGGACTTTTACTTTAATCTGAGCAGCACCAACATCCTGATTCAAGATGGCCGCCACAGCTGGATGACCTCATGGTGTACACTAATTACATGTGTCTCTGTGATGGACTGAGACACGTCCAGGTGTCTCTGTGAGGGACCGAGACATGTCCATGTGTCTCTGTGAGGGACCGAGACATGTCCATGTGTCTCTGTGGTGGACTGAGACATGTCCAGGTGTCTCTGTGAGGGACCGAGACACGTCCAGGTGTCTCTGTGGTGGACTGAGACATGTCCAGGTGTCTCTGTGAGGGACCGAGACACGTCCAGGTGTCTCTGTGAGGGACCGAGACACGTCCAGGTGTCTCTGTGAGGGACCGGGACATGTCCATGTGTCTCTGTGGTGGACTGAGACATGTCCATGTGTCTCTGTGGTGGACTGAGACATGTCCATGTGTCTCTGTGGTGGACTGAGACATGTCCAGGTGTCTCTGTGATGGACTGAG